ATACAAATTCGACTTAAGGACAGACCTTGGGAACAGAACTCGTTCTTAAACTGGGGACTATCTGTAATTGTTAATTTACACACTAAGCACGATACAGCTTCTGCTGCTTCGAGGGAGAAAATGGTGGCATATGCCTCTTGAAAAGAACTTCCCACTTCAGTGGACAAAAGGAAATAAAATTCATATCTGAATACCAGATAGCAATCAGCAGCAAAGAACACTGATTTCTGCCACTTTTTCACCTCCAGTCCAGTATATCTGATACCACACATGTATTGCAGCATCTCCTGGAAATCACACAGCTACACCTTGGCAGCCGAGAAGAAGCTGAACAGATTGATATGTCAGGGCACTGGAATTTCTAGGGTTTATCAGACTCAAAAGATCCAGCACTGCCAATCAATCCAGCCTGGTATGTTCATGATTTTCAGTCAGGAGAAGCCTTCCTGTACATCTCTTTTCTTCCCCTTCTGGCACCGCCTTAGCAATTCAGGTGGGATAACATACCTGTGAGGATTGGCCAAAGAAGTCCTACCTGGAGGCTGCAATGAATGGCATAGCTGTAGAATGCAGGTGCACAATATGCAGGAGTGCAAGTGGATGGGTATGGTGGCTAAAAGTTTACACAGCCTCTCTGACTGGAGGAAGATACTGCTGTCCCTGGGGGACAGCACTGTGCATAGACAGAGAGGAAGCACTAGTTCCTCTCCTGCTTCCCATGAAATGAGAAGTTGATTAATATTAGTTAGACCACTAGGCTGTTGAGCTTAATATTGTCTATATTGACTGGTAGCTAATTGTGAGGGTCTCATTCAAGGGTTTTTCCCTTTCACTTCTATAGAGACCAAGAACTGAATCAAGGACCCTTCACATACAAAGTTTGTGCTCTGCCACTAATCTGAGCCTTCCAGTATGAATACTGTTCAGGTTTAATTGCAAGTACTCTCTCTTTGTTCCTCATATAGTCAGATTGCTTTATAAGTCTTCTTGGAGAGACAGAGTATCTGATTAAAAGTTTATAGTCTGTTTTGATTTTGACATAATAAAATCAAGTCAGGAAAGATAGCTTCAACTGCATATGAGAAGGGAGGCTGATAGAGAATGACTTTCTAAGGTTTCAAAAGATGTGTGCAAAACCTGTTTGGTTAATTAACATTGAATTTGGCTCATCAAAAAAAAAGTTGATTGACTGACCGGATTGAATAATAGGTGACATCTGCTGATTCGTTGTAGACAAGGAGGGATGTGACTTGAATCTATCACGTTCAAGTGTTGACACAGGAGTGATAAAATGATTTTGATTCCAACCATCCTGTGGAAGAAGGAAAAGAAGGTTACATGTAAAACAAATTCCATTTAATTAAGAGAAATTGTTTAGACTTCATTGTGGTATTGAATCTTAATAAATACTATCTTTGTGAGAAGAGCTTTTAATATATTACCTTTTTATAAATGCTACGGAGGTCACGATATTGCCATAATGTGTTGAGCACCTGGGCTGCTGCTTTGACAACTTTCAGTGATGATCTAAGAAGAAAAGATTTATCAGGCATGCAAACACTACACAATGGGTGGCATCCAGTGGTAAGTTCCCATCAGTTAAAACAGTTTCCTTTAACAGAATGGGGAGTGAGTAATTCCCCCTTGTAGCCCCCAAATCTAATTCTGAAAGCTGAGTTTGCAGGACTGCAAGTGAGAAAAGACAGTCCTTTTAAGCTAACAGGGGTCTGCTAGCAACATTCCTTTACCGAAAGTTAAAGTCTGCTTTACATGACGCTGTAATTCACCTGAAAGAACATCAATATTCTATGATCAAAATGAACTATCAGCAACAAGCACATAAATGGATGAGGTGGAAAGGAAGACTTATATCCTGATAAAACGAACAGGTTATTATAGAGATAGCAAAGGACCTTGGCAGTGTATAATGGAATCATGGGGAAAAGGCAAGGAGTCAATGGAGTGCACCCCTTTTCCTATGTGCATGGCTTTTCCTTTTTAAGTGATTAATGTGCATAAAGGCTGTAAACCAATAGTTGACAGGTTAATATGAAACTTATTTCATATGCCTACCCTTTTTGGATAGCATGATGTGTGTATTTCAAATTGTATCGTAAACCCTTTACCAAGATACCAGCATACTGTGATGTGTTTACTGCAAAGCTACCTGGTGTAGGGAGTTAGACTGGCATGGCCAGGTGGGCTTCCTTGATCTATCCCCGTGTGCTCTTTATCTATGGAATGTCCATGGCATAGTTACCAGCACCTAGGAAGAATTAATCTAAGTGATTAAGAAAGAGGGGAAGGTATACATCCATTAAATCTCCTCTAAGGGATGAATCTCAGTATAGACCTAGCAAGCAAAGGCGCTATGTGCTAGCCAGAATCATCTGGGGAATGCCTGCCTTTGATGAGGGCGAGGGGCTCTGAGCTGATGTGAGATTCTCTCCTGTATTTACACTCCTTCGTTGGATGATGTCATGTCTTGTTTAATTCCCTTGTCTATGGATATTTTCTATCTATATTATGCTTTGTAGTTAAAGTTACTCCTTTGCTATCCTTTGCTTAATAAATGTTTGTGTGTTTATTTGTGTGTTTACTGCTTTCAGATCCACAAAATGCAGTGTCAAAATGCAGTGTCATTCAAATTTGGAGTATTTCTGGATCAGATTGCTGAAAGGTTGGTTTGTTTGTTTTTTAATATGGACATTCTCATGGATAGCTTTGATCATGTAGTCATTCCAACTGAAAACAACAGGGCTCAGCGTTCGTTAGCAGAAGCAAGCTTCTTGAATGTATCATACTTCATTTAAAAGTACCTTAGTTACCAATCCATTTACAAGCCCACTTAAAGATGCAAGCTTTGGCCTAAATGATGTGAGTTCCAAGAAACTCTCTGAACAGCTCCTTCTCTATAAGCTGAAAGCAGTGATTCTCAAACTAGGGTCTGTGGACTACCAGCGGGCCACAAAGGTCTACTGCAGTCTCCCTGCATTCACTGCCAGTCAGCTAGCAGGCCAGAAAACACCACTTCAATCCCTACCTCTCTGTCTTCCCTGCCAATCAACTGTTTCCTAAGAATAGACTGCTGACTGAAAACTGAATTCACTAAAGCATGCAAGTTCAGAAGTGCCATATGGGTACTAAAATAATAATAATAATTAAAAAAACCCTGACAACAGTGAAGAGGTCTCAGTACAGTTACCAACTGTGTGTCCACATGTACTGTGCTAAATGGAACTGTGATATCACACAAGCAACTCAAAAAGTAGAGTGTGGATAGGAAATCTGATGATTTCTGTCAGAGAACTGGCAAGTTTGTGCTAAGAGTTGCTATTATGACATATGGTACATAAAATACTTAGATTGAGATGGGCGGCTATAGAAATTGAGTAAATAAATAAATTAATTAAATGGTACATTAACATTTAATTTTGGAGCTGCATTGATATTCAGCAAGTTAAATGTGACTTTTTTTTTTCAAATATTTGATTTGCTGGTTAATGACCAAAATAAAATGACTGACTGATTTAATTTTGGAGTTGCTTTTGGTACACAGTTTAATTAAAAGGGACTTCTAAAATGGAATAGATAGGAAGGCACACACAAGTGCAGCTATAATCATCATTCACTGAGAAATGGTAATTCCCATGCTTTTAAATATGAAAATGTAGGCAGGGGATATTTTTTTAACTGGGTGATCCATGCATTTTTTAAATGTTTATTTAGTGATTCATACTTACAAAAAGTTTAACAAATACTGATCTAAATGTTTATGAAGACCAGGGTCTTCATTAGTAATGACCCCTAAACATGTCTTTTCTTTCCTCTCCTCCTTTATTTTGTTGTACCTTTTTGGTTTGATTTACCTTATGAATTTGGAAGATGAACACAGTGCCAATGATTTATTTATATTTTCCTTATATCCTTTCTTTTATTAATTGTCAGTCAGTCAGTCAGTCAGTCAGTCAGTCAGTCAGTCACACACACTGTATTCCACACTGCTTCAAAGAATTTGAACAGCTAAAAACTGATTATGATAATAACAGAATTCAAAACCCATAGTAATAAGAATAAAAGATTAAAAAAACATTCTATAAATAAAAGTTAAAAAACAATCCCAGGCATCAATCTTATCAGTCTTAATCTCCAAATAATTCTTAAAGAGCCAGGCCAGGATTTAGTTCCTCTGAGAAATGATAGTGCTGGGGCCAAAAGAGACATGGCAACTAGAAAAAGCCTACTTTTACACCATTCATTCCCCCATAATCTGCTGAGGAGAACAGACCCAGACATCTCCTTAAAGGTTAATCAGATAGAATTGGTAGATTATGTCTGAAGCAGGCAGCCCTGCAGATAATCTGGACCTAAACTTATAAAGCTTTATAGGTAACAACTGGAAACAGGTAACTAATGAAGCACCTGCAGCATCTGTGTTGTATTACCAAAGCAGCTTTTACTTTGGGAATTGGATGCTTCAACTGAAATGCACGTTTACCTACTTTGAGAAATATGACGGCTGAAAAATATACTCATACTTCTAAAACATTAAGATTGCATTAGTTGGCAGTACTGTCCAGCACAGGTGTGGGGTAACAAACTTTGCATACATAAACATACCGTGTTAGGACCACTGGCTTGGATTCACATGTGCTCATGTAAAAATCCAAGGTCTTTTGACACATCTCATTTCATTTAGGAGAATCCCATAACCTCAGCAACAACTTTTTATAGGGCAGAAGTAGAAAGCAACAATGCTTTGTTGCACAAGTGACCCATTGTCCTTTATTTATGCACAAGAATTGCATACTGCATCTAATAAAAAAATCATTGCTAAGAGGCACTGAGAGCAAAGCAAGAGAGATAGGGACAGAGAAAAGAAATAGGGATAGGCATAGTTTTCCAACACAGTTTAATGGTTAATGATGGCATCCTTCCATTTTTCTCTTTTTTTCCCAATGTCACAGCAGATACTCCCAGCAGTTTTTCATGCTTCGCAATATAGCCGCCTTTTAATGATCAAGCAGACATTGTTTGACTTTTTACAACTCCAACCAGCTTTTGGCTGGAGGGGCTGATAATTACACACACAGTCATATATATATGTGAGCACATATATATACCTGCATATCTTCTCTGAGCCTGTGAACAGCCACGACAGGTTTAAACATCACTGACATTTACAGAGGTTTTTAATCTTGAAGTAGTTCGCAGAAACATTGCTTACAAACAAATGCTCTATAACAAGGAGAGCGGCAGGCAGTATGTGGACTTTATGAAAATGAAAACAGAAAAGACACTAAGCTTCCTCTAGTCCCTCCTAAACAAATCAGAATATGAGGCTAGTCAGTGAATTTAATAAGCCAACAGTGCGGAAATATAGTTTCCCAGACCAACAGCTACTTTCTTAATCTGATACATTCCTGTTCTCAGAAGCTGACAAAGACTTTTATTGGAGAAATTCAGACATCCTGCACTCACCTGTCCCCTCTTCCTTTGGTTATGTTCACCAGTTTTTCTATCCCTCCCGTATCGGCCAAGGCTTTTGCATTTTCCATGTTTTTGCTGGTGACCTCGTGCAAAGCACAGCAGATGGCTGCTACTGTTTCATCGGAGAGGATGTTGGGCCCACTGCCTCCCGGGAGGCGATTTACCAAGTCCCGCATAGCATATTTACCTGAAAAGAAGAGGCTATGAATTATGCCATAGTATATTCTTTCAACATCATAAAGAACAATGATATGGAGAAAGATGCATATTCAAAAACAAGGGAAAGAGATTCTATTTAATAAGGGAAAACCAATTTCATAAAAAATAAATTCTCCTGTCCGACTGTTTAGAGCAGTGTTTCTCAGCCTCAGCAACTTTAAGATGGGTGGGCTTCAACTCCCGGTATTCCCCATGCTGGCTGAGTTGAAGTCCACCCATCTTAAAGTTGCTGAGGTTGAGAAACACTGGTTCAGAGGAAAAAAGTAGGTGTTGCAGCATCAGTTTTCAAATTAAAAAAAACAAACAAGCCAACGTGCTGGGTTCTTTTACTGGATTAGTGAAAACGTGATTAAAATGATTCTGGCAAGAAGCCAAAGTATACAGATATACACAAATCTGTTTACTTATTTTAGATAACCTTGTTTTAGCTGAGCTATTTTTAAAGGTAGAAAGACACAGTTGAATTAATAGCTTAGCTTTCAATCTGCGGTTTCTTGAAACACAGCAAATATTTCAACAGGCTGTACTCTTTTTCTTTCAAGCATAACTTGGAATTTGCAGACAACAAAACAAGATAAATGTTATGACCTAATCTTGGCTCTAGTGAGTATGGAGGCAATAAATGTGTATAAAAGAGAAAAATAAGTTTTTCAGACTATGGGTCTTTGAAGGGTTTCCTTTCATGAACTGAATAAGGCACAGATAACCTGCTTAATTCATTTTTCACCTGTTACGAATAGTATTTGAGGATCTCTTACAAGGAAAAAGATGAACACTGCATGGTAAAGAAAGTAAGTGACCCCAAGCTTTGGGTTGGTATAATTTAGTGGCTTTTAATTAGCCACTTCTCTATAAACATGAAATGTGTATTTGTATATAAATGATAATTAGCATTTACAGTGCATTTGGAAAGTATTCAGGCCCCCTTCACTTTTTTCAATTTTGTTATGTTGCAGCCTGATACTACCATCGTTCAAATTCATTTTTCTTCCCAT